TTTTTTTTCCTAATGTCCAGTCTAAACCTCCCTTGTTGCAGCTTGAAGCCATTCCCTCTTGTTCTGTTGCTAATTACCTGTGAAAAGTGAGCAGCACCAACCCCTCTACAATGACCTTTCAGGTAGTTGTAGAGACTGATACGGTCTCCTCTCAGCCTCCTCTTCCTCAAACTAAGCATTTCCAGCTCCTTCAACGTTCTTCATAAGATTTATTCTCTAGGTCCTTCACCAGCTTCGTTGCCCTCTGTACTTGCTCCAGCACCTCATGATCTCTCTTGAATTGAGGTGCCCCAAACTGGACACAATACTCCAGGTGTGGCCTCACCAGTGCTGAGTACAGGGGAACAATCACCTCTCTACTTCTGCTGGTCATACTATTTCTAATACAAGCCAGGATGCCATTGGCTTTCTTGGCCACCTGGCCACACAGCTGGCTCATATTCAGCTGCTTGTCAATTAGAACCCCCAGGTCCTTTCCAGCCACACTTCCCCAAGCCTGGAGCATTGCCTGGGGCTGTTGTGGCCCAAGTGCAGGACCTGGCACTTGGCCCTGTTGAAGCTCAGACCATTAACATTAGCCCAACCACCCAATCTATCCAAGTCTCTGTAGAGCCTGCCTATCCTCATGCAGATCAACACTCCTGCCTAGCTTGCTGTCATCTGCAGACTTACTGATAATACATATATATGCACAGGTTAAAGATTTTGGAGAAATCTGATAAACCTGAAACTTAGTTAATTGTTTGTGTAAGTACCTCCACCTTAAATAATGTTTTAAAACATCATCATCAGATGATCAGATTTCAGAATTACATTTTGCGGTCATTAGGCTAGTCATATCAGATATTAAATTACTAATTTTTCTTCTCTAATTTCTCTAAGTATTGAATATCATTCCCTTATATTTCTTCCAAGCAAGTATTTATTTTATAATTGATTTGCCTAGTACATGGCTTTTTCTCAAACTGCACTTACTGTTGTAGCACACACTAGGAGATAATTCAGTATCCATTTTTCTAAAGTTCAGGAATAATATTCAGGAATAATTAAAAATAGCACTACTTCCTCATCCTTTAGCCAGTTATAAAAATCTCCTCTGCCTCTCCTATCTACACCAGAGACTGAAACACAGTTGGCAAGACCCAGGCTTTGAAGACGCAACCAAAATGCTGAGCTAGAAAGCATCCTGCACTCCTAAAGGACTCAAGTTTCCTCTACTGTCAGAACAGAACCACAAGCCAGACTTCAATGCAAATGGAATAACTAGTTTGGGCTTTAAGAAAATCTGATCCCTCATATGTGTCACACTTCATCATTTCTGTTTGCATCGCTCAAACTTCTTACTGAAGATTGGGAACATTTAAAAAAAAGGTAACTGCAGTACTGCCTCAGTGACACAACTACATCCATTAACACAAATGGCACGCAAACTGAAACTACAACCCCTATTGCCCTGTATTATTTTTTCCTTCCCACCACAAGTATTTCCCACTTCCAAGGCAAATATAAGAAAACAGGCATGATTACAGAACCAATAGTAGAAACACCCACTTCTTTAGCACTATTGTGCTATTTCAGTACATACAATCTACATTAAAAATAGCTTGGATATATAAGCTTCATCACTTTTGCTAATTAGTTGCTTTAAAAGTTTCTCAATATTGCATAAGAAGTTTTAGATAGACTTCATTTTTCCTGCATCACCTATTCCTTGTGGCACAGCCTGAACTGCTCTGGTCGCTTTTCCTGTCAGACAAGGTCCTGATACAAAACAATACATTAGCAAGACCAGACAAGAAATATATAAAACTAGTTTGGCAAGAATTTACTCTGGCAGGATTTGGTAAGTAAATATAAAATAACAATGAAACTTTTCATTAAAGCCCTCTCCAAACTTCACAGAGCAGTCCTTTTCTGGAGGCCCTTTTACTCTACTAAAGGTATCGCATAAATCAAGGATTTGATGTGGGAGGCTTGGAAGGAAAGAGAATTCTAGGGGGAAGGGGAGTATTCACATTTTGTACAGATCAGTTACACCATACTAAAAAAAGAAAAGAACTAAAAAAGCTCACATGTTTAAGCTAGTGATTTTGATTTTACCAAGTTAATAAAATCCACAGCTATTTATAGTTTAAAATGTTAATAATTAATTCTATGTATTAAAAAAAAAAAAAACAACAACAACAACAAAAAACATGGAAACACCCAAACAGCATAAATGTTCATATTTAAATGCTTATTCTGTGTTCTGTCTACAATGAACATACACTGCATAAGAACAAGCTCATATGCACTGTTGGCTAATACAAAAGAAACTGGACCAAACTTAACACTGATTTGAATTCAAGTACTATTATACTGACGTTACACAGGTATGTGTATTCACAGTGTGGTCAAGTTGCATTTCTCCCCTGCAGCCAGTGAACAGATATTGGTAATTCCCTACGCAACAGCAGTAATAGTCTTTGAGCATTTTTTGAAGCAATCAAAAACACTGTTTTGGCTTAGACCAGTTACTGAGTCAAAGTGGAAATAGGCAATTACCAGAGTTTACTGGAATTTGCACAATTTCATCTGTAGGGTAAAGTGGCTCAACCACTCTTTCAGGACACACAAAACACCTTCAGGGTCACCTTCTCCTGGTGGAAGCACAGGGATTTCAAGGGAGATCTCACAAGTGAGGGACTGACTCCAACACCAACCCAGAGAGAGGTGGTCTGCTCAGGGCATGGACACAAGTGAAAAGGAAAATGTCTTCTAGTTATAAAACAAGTAAAGTGCAAAACATATGAAGACTACAAAGGCAGTTTCTGTAAAGATGAAAAAAAAAAAAAAACAACAACCCTAAACAGAATTTTCTTAATTACTCAGAAGCTTTTCAAGAAAGCTAATTCAGAATTGTTGTGGTTTAAGAACACATCTCAGAGTCATATGCTTCACTGTTATTTCAAAATCTGAATTTGTATATTACAATTAGATTTTCATATTTTGCCAACAAAAAAAAAAGGCACATTTATATTCTTTCACTGTTATGATTGTGTAGAAGAGTACTGCACTCTCCAAATCTGCACTGCATTTAGACATATAAAAACACACTTTGACAGAAAACTCATTAGCTAACACTGCTCCACCAGTGTGTAAATTAGCAATGTGCAATTATTTTGTAAAAGCTGTATAGGTGCCTTTGTTACTACTTCATGCAGAAGAACTAGCAAGTTCACTTCATTGAATACAAGGATAGAAGTAATGCTAAACCTGATTTATAAGATCTTCATTTAAATATTGCATCACTCAGCTCAAGTCTAAGCAAGTCAGATCTCCTGTTTCCTGTGTACACCCATTTAACTATTCTATTTGACTATGATTATAAAGGCACTTATAATTTAAACTCATGAGCACTACATTTTCTGCTCCAAAGTCCTCTATCATGGAAGATAAATATTTGCTAAGTGAATACCAGCACTGAGAGTAGAAACAAGAGCACATTACAAAGGCAGTAAGAATGCAGCCATTCATATTCTGTTTATTCCATACAACATGACTTCCAAAAAGCACAAAGGAGAAAACCCTTAATTTAAGTAGTATCATTCAATATTCTGTAGCTAACAATTTTATGTTCCCACAGAATCAAAACAAGGACCATATGTGGAAAAAAACATCTAGAATTAGGAACGGAAACTGCAATGTGTTCTTATTAAATGGCATAGGAAAAAATCCTATAATTTAGTTCCAAATAGGTGTCTTGTTTTCATAAATGTATGCTTTCAAAAAATGCATAGAAAAGCTTAATGTTAAAAGTTGCAATAAGCAAGCTTATTCTCTGAAATATTTTGTCCATGTTGCACAAGAAGAGAGCAGCACAAACTTCTTAGTCAAAGTAGCCATCTATTTAAAACAAAGCAGAAAACCAGGCTCTTAAAAAGCCCACCATACAGAGCTTATTGGTTACAAATTATTCCCACCTCAGTGATTCAATCTCCCCTGCCCACCGGGAGGAGGTTCCAAAGCATCAGCAAGACGTATTGTATCTGTACGACTGCTGTTATGGGTTGGGGGTGAGACATGGCGGAAGTGATTTCATGCCTTGTGTTTGAAGCCCACCTAGAGAGCTCTGCTGGGGCAGACCGCAAGTGTTCCCCCAGAGCTGTCTGCACTTCTTATCTTTGGCTGTAACAACTCAACTTTCCCAAGTACACCTTTCAGCTGCGTGCAGATAACTCTAGTTGCCACTACTATTTGTTACACATCTTGAAATCAAGTAAATCAGATTTATTTTTTTTCCCCAAACACGGCTATATTTTCTAATTTGTTCAGGGCAAAATAGGAAGAGTATTTCTTACCAAACAACAATTTAGAGCATTTTGCTTTAAGGTTGTTTTTTTTCGTACATAGATCCTTAAATTACTTTTAAACACTGGACAGTTGCACACAGGCATTTCAGT